GGAGTCCTGGTGTGGTGATGTAGGATAAGCAATGGACTGTTAACTGGAAGGTCTGCAGTTCAACCCCACCAGCCAATCTGTGGAAACTCTATATAGGGTGTAGCTATGAGTCAGAACCAACTTATGGCATGTAACAACAGTCATATGAATCTAATGAGCCCTTCTGTAATGGCTGTTGTGACTAAGAAACTGGAATTTTTAGATAATATTTCATCTGAATTTCAATAGTCACATGTAATAGATAGCACACATCTAGTAGAGCCTTCACACATTCAGGTAGGTGTCAGAAGTGGGAGGAAGATTATGGGCTATCCAGAAATCTTAAATTATTAACATTGTTTAAAAAACTCTGTAATTCATTCTTTCAGTATATATTTTTCTAGACGTTCCACATTTTTAAAAAATTGACCCTAAATCAACCAAATTCTTTAGACTGTTTTTCTGTGTATAACATCTTATTGCAAAGAGGTGTAAGACTGATTTAATTAACAGTTCTGCCCCCACTTCTATAGTGATTGGGTTCTGAATTTATTGAAGTTACTCACCTAAAACCCTTGGTTTCCATACTTCAACTAAATGACAGAAACTATTTCACTAAATTATCCCAGACAGCACAAATTTTCTTTCCAAAAGTAGAGGCTGGAATTACAGTACCCTCACACTGCCTGCTACATCTGTTTATGCTTCCAGAAGTGACATCCACTATGTAGACAGAAAATGCCAATTTTTTGGAAAGAGACATAGAATTTTGTGAGGCTTAGGGGAAATAACAACAACTCAACAACAATACAAAGCACTACTCTTTAAAATAATAGATATATAGAATTGGATAGCTACAAATTTCCTTTGAAATTAAGGGAGAAAAAACTGTATTCCCAGAGTATAGATTCTGTGTACAGACTAGTCTGGGTTCATACTGAGCCATAACCATTTACTAGCTAATAAAGTTCTGGGTAAATTACTAAGTCCAAGGCTCAGTTTCCCATCTGCAAAATACAGATAATAATAGCTCTATTGAGAAAACATGTGAAAGACTTGGAAACGGGCAAAGCATTATTGGAAAGCAATGCTTGGAGTTATCTATAGGATCTTTTGGAGTTATCTGATTCTATAGTAGTCTTATAGAAACCTTGGTGGTCTAGTGGTTTATACTAACTACAAGGTCAGCAGTTCAAATCTACCAGCATCTCCATAGAAGAAATATGAAGCTTTCTGTTCCCGTAAAGATTTATAGCCTTAGAAACCCTATAAAGGGTTGCTATGAGTTGGAACTGACTTGATGATATAAACCTCCATTGCTACCACATAGTATACTGGTACATAGACCAAGAGGCAACCTGCGAATAGAACAAGGGAATACTGCAAGGCTTAAAATCAGGAAAGGTGTACATCAGAATTGTATCCTATCACCATATTTATTCATCTTTATGATGAGTAAATCATTCAAGAAGGTAGATTATATGAAGAAGAACAAGGATCCGGATTGGAGATGATATGCAGATGATACAACCTTGCTTGCGGAAAATAGAGGACTGGTTGCATTTATTGATGAAGATCAAAGACTTCATTATGGATTTCGCCTCCACATAAAAAAGACAAAAATCCTCCTAACTGGAAAAATAAGAAACATTATGGTAATGGAGAAAAAAAAAATTGAAGTTATCAAGGATTTAAATTTACGTAGATCTACAATCAATGCACATAGAAACAGCAGTCAGGAAATCAAACTATGTATTGTATTGGACGAAACTTATGCAAAAGATGTCTTTAATGTGTTAGAAAACAAAGATGTTGCTTTGAAGATTAAAGTGCACCTGACTCAAGCGCGGGGCATTTTCATTTGCCTTATATGCATGGGAAAACAGGATAATGAATAAGGAAGACTAAAGAGGAATTGATGATGCTGAATTATGGTGTTGGCAAACAATATTAAACACATCATGGACTTCCAGAAGAATGAACAAATCTGTACTGGAAGAAATACAGTCAGACGTTTCTTAGTAGCAAGAATGGTAAGACTTTGTTTTACATACAATGACCATGAAAGCTGAAATGGACTGATACTAGCCATTTTGAATCTGACAAGCATTGTGCCAGGAATGATAAATTCAAGAGGAATGATTTTGCATTCAATATCAAAAAGAACATTTGAGATCTATCTTGAAGGCTGTGTGTTTGTGATAGGGTAGTATCTATATGCCAACAAGGAACAACAATTAATACAACTATTATTCAAATTTATAAACCAACTACTAAAGCCAATAATGAAGAAATTGTGGTGCTGTGGGTTAGTGTGCTGGACTGCAAAGTCGGTTTGATTCACAAGGTCGACGGTTCAAGCTCATCAGTCTCTCTTCAGAAATCAGGGTTGCTATGGGTCAGAATCAACTCTACAGTTTGCTCAAGCATGTATTCAAGATGCTTTGGTAATTACTGGTAATTAGAATGCAAAAGTTGGAAGTAAAAAGGAGATATCAGTAGTTGGAAAATACTGCCTTTGTGACAGAAATGACCCTGGAGATCTCAAAATAGAAATTTGCAAGACCAACAACTTCTTCATTGCCACAAGGTTTTTAAACAACATAAATGGTGACTATACAACATGAGCCTCATTATATGGAATTCACAGGAATCAAATTGACTATATCTGTGGGAAAAGATAACAGAAAAGCTAAATATCATCAGCCAAAACAAGGCCAAGGGCCAACTGTGGAACATACCATCAATTGCTCATATGAGCATTCAGGTTGAAGTTGAAGAAAATTAAAACAAGCCCACGAAAACCAACAGGACCTGAATAAATCGTACCTGAATTTAGAGATCATCGGAAGACTAGATTTGACACATTGGACACTAAACACTGCAGAACAGGTAAGTTGTGAAATGACATCAAGGGCATCATATATGAAGAAAACAAAACATCTTTAAAAAGACAGGAAAGAAAGAAAAGACCAAACTGAATGTTAAGAAGAGACTCTCAAACTTGCTCTTGAGTGTAGAGTAGCTAAAACAAATGTAAGAAATGAGGAAGTAGAAGAGCTGAACAGAAAATTTCAAAGGGCAACTTGAGAAGACAAAGCAAATACTACAATGAAATGACCTGGAATTAGAAAACCAAAGAGAAAAACACGTTCAACACTGCTTAAGCTAAAAGGACTGAAGAAAAAAAATTCAAGCTTCAACTTGTAATATAGAAAGATTCTGTGGGCAGGTTTGAGTATTCAACAAAGCAGGCAGCATCAAAAGGAAGACGGAAGGAATGTAGTCACTGTACAAAAAACAATTTTGATTGATGTTCAACCATTTCAGGAGGTATCATATGATCAAGAACTAACGGTATTGAAGAAAGAAGTCCAAGCTTCCCTGAAAGCTTTAGTGAAACACAAGCTTCAGGAACTGATGGAATACCAGTTGAAAGGTTCCAACAAACTGGTGAAGCTCTGGAAGCAATTAGTCTATGCCAAGAACTTTGTAAGATAGCTATTTGAGCAACCAACTAGAAGAGACCCACATTTGTGTCCATTCCATGGAAAAGTTCAGGGAATATTGAATAATATCATTAATGTCACATGCAACTAAAATTTTATTGAAGATAGTTTAAAAATGTCTGCAGCGTATATTGACAGGGAACTGCCAGAAATGCAAGCTGAATTAGGAATAGGATGTGGGATGAGTGATATCACTGGTGATGTCATGTAGATCTAGGCTGAAAGCAAAGAACCAGAAAGATGTTTTGTTGTTGTTGTTAGATGCCACGGAGTTGGTACCGACTTATAGCGACCTTATGCACAACAGAACGAAACACTGCCCAGTCCTGGGCCAACCTCACTATTGTTACCACACTTGAGCTCACTGATGCTGCCACTTTGCCAATGCATCTCACTAGGGGTCTTCCTCTTTTTCTCTGACCCTCCACCTACCAAGCATGATATCCTTCTTCAGCCACTGGCCCCTCCTGACAATATGTCCGAAGTACGAGAGAAGAAGTTGGACCATCCTGGCCTCGAAGGAGCACTCTGGCTGTGTTTTATTTACTATGGAAAGGTATTGGACTATGTGGATCTTATTTAATAAGTCAAATATAATTTTAAAGTATGAGACATTGGTAGTTCAGTAGTGGAATTCTCATTGTCACATAGGAGACCTAGCAGTGACTTTGTAAGATAAGCACTAGGCTCTGAGCCATGAAGTCGGCAGTTTGAGGCACCAGTCACTCCTCGGGAGAAAGATGAGACTTTCTACTCCTGCAAAGATTTACAGCCTTGGAAACCCTATACAGGGTAGTTATGAGTTAGAACCAACTTGACAGTATTAGCAACAATAATATAGGAAAATAGGGTTCAATTTTTGGTTAGTGTACCACATGCACAGGTACCACCGCCTTATCAAGTTTGTATGTTGCCCTGATACAGAACAGGTTTCAGTGTAGCTCCCAGCCTGAGGCAGTAGGAAGAAAGGTATGGTGCTGTACTTTCACAAATCATTCACCGAGAGCTCTATAGGTCTGTTCCCCTTGTGAATGGCGTTGCGGTGAGTCAGGGCAACTGATCAGCTATCAACAGCAAAGAGGTTTTTCTCCATAGAGTTTTTGGGAGGATTGGTTTAAAGGTCTATATTTTGCAGTAGGCCGTGACACTTCTGGTAGTGTGTGTGTGTGCGCATTTATATAAAGGTTGGGTGGGTTGAAGAACACACCATAGTGAATAAAGTAAGAAGACCTTTTTGTCATTAGGGCCTTAAAGTTTAAGGTTGGTATTACAGTGGACACAATAGCCTAATTGAAGGCCTCGAAGAAAAAGCCTTTCTTTTTGTCATTAGGGCCTTAAAGTTTAAGGTTGGTACTAGAGTGGACACAGTAGCCTAATTGAAGGCCTCGAAGACCAAACTCAGCCTAGGTTTTAGTTTTCCAGCCCTGGATAGTGACCCGGGGTTTGGGATGCCCTAGAGTCATGAAGTTTACTGCAGACTACAGGCAAACTGGGGTTTCCTAAACTTGATGCCTAAAACTGCATCAGCGCCTGAGAACTGACAGGCCCCGGAAGAGCAGGCCTACTCCCAGGCTCCAAGTGCTCCCATCCCGTCGCCGAGGGGGTGGGGCGGCCTCGCCTCGGGCCGCTCCGAGTTTTTCGCCCTTCGTTGGCCGCCAGAGGCTCCCTCTCTCTCTCCCTCTCCTGGGATTTTGCTGCCGGGCTCCCTCTCTCTGCGGCCCTAGAGTTAATTCCATCAGCCGAGGTGAGGCACCTGTTACCCTGGGCCTTCCTCACCCCCGCCCCCCCAAGGCCTCCCTCCATTACACCCCGGCCAGGGAGGCCCGCGAAACGACCCGCGGCGGGTGACCGCACGTGGCGAAGCCCCTTCCCCGGCCACACCCCACCCCCGCCGGCCCGGGGGTGCGAGCGCGTTGGTGTCCAGGCCACCACCCGCCCGCAATGGCTTTGGGGATGGCGGCGCGCCTCCCCGGGCCGCCCGCTGCGGGATGGGCGCGCGTGGGGGCTGGAGCGCGACTGGAAACGGCCGCCGCAGCCGCCCGCCTCCCTGCGCCGTGAGGAGCTGGGTGGGCGGCGGGGCACGAGCGGGACTGCGCCGCCCCGCCGTCGCCACGGGGTGGGGGCGCTCCCGCGGAGGGGTGGGAGCCGCGGCGGCCCGATCCTCCCCGCCGGCGGCGGCTCCCGCTCGGGTAAGGGGGAGGCCGTACGCGGGGCTAGGAGTAGGGGCGGGTGGAGATGTACAAAGGCTGGGGGTCGGGGTAGGCTGTGGTTGGGGAGCGATAGGTTGAGGATCGGAGGCTTATCAGTGGGATCTATTGTTTCCTGGCACATTGGGAGGAAAAACAAAGGAATTTAGTATCATTACCTAGTAATTTTTTATTTTTTTAATGTGGCCAGGGAGCTCGGCTCTCCCGGTGCCACATTGGGATCCGCCTGGCAGCAGCCAGGAACCGCAGCCAATGTGTTAGGACTCCAGGTGCTTCTTGGCACAAAGCTAGACTGCGACCTCCTACCATAGCGCTTGGCGTCACCTGCTCTCCCGGCCCTGCCCCGGGCCGAGGGACTGCGTCCCGAAGCAGGCTTGGGAATCCGCTGCCTCTCAAGTTGGTGTTATTTATGTTTGTCTTTTGTGAGGGCAGGTTTTGAATCCCCCGGCGGCCCAATCGCCCCCGCTCCCGCCCCCTCGGGCTGGAATTGGCGGGGGAAGAAGGAGGGTGGGTGTGTACGGGGGAGGGGAGGAGAGGGTGTTTACGGCTTTAAAAAATGTCAGGGTAAAAGGAGCTTGTCGGTGCTTTAAGAAAACAACAACAACAAAACAACAAAAACCAGGCAACACACTCCAAAGCCCTTCTTGTTTGTCTGCATGGACCATTCATGCATGCTGGGCCAGAAACCGAGTTTGGAGAGGATGTAAGGGAAAGTGTGTGCTTCCTCAGTTAATTGCGGGTTAGGGTGATTTATGCCTACGTGTAATTAACAAACAAACCCAAACAACAACAACAACAACAAATAAAATAAAATATCTGTAGAACCTCTATTGTCTGATGCTTAGCAGATCTCTTAGTATTTGATTTCTAGCATATTGATGTAAAATCCAGCTGTGGGTTAAAGGATATCAGCAAGCATGCATTGAATTTTGAGTCTATAGTAAGAGGCAAGAAGGAATAAACATATCAAGACTATGAAGAGAGGTTTCATGGTGTATTTGCTTCCTAGTTATCACTTTCTTATATATATTCACACACATACATGTGTATATATGTATATATATGTATGTATATATACATATATATACACACATATACATATGGATATATCTATAAATATCCATGATTTTCTCCATCTTATGCCACATATTTGGTATATTATGAAATTTACTGCAGTTTAAGAACTTTCTTCTGCTTGTTTTGGTCTGAAATTGTGCTTCTGTTGCTCTGAGAGTGCCATAGATGAGAATATTAAACCCAAAAGAGTGAAACAAGCATCTGTAGGCATGTTTAAGAGTTTGTAAACATAGATTTCAAATCTTTACTTGAACTTAAAATGAATGAACTCTATTTTGGATAATCTCAAATATAACTTGCTCTCTGGACAGTTTGATAACTCCTTAAAGATATTCGCATTGCTGGTTTCTTGTAGGGATGTTAACAAAAGGCTAAAACTTGTGTTTAAGCATTGTTTTCAAGCCTACTTATGTGTAACTTGCGTGTGTGATTTTGTTCGGGATCTCCAGATTGTGTTTGGAACATTGTAACTTTTTTTATCTTCTTGACTTTGAACGTTTCATTTCAGTAAGTAATTTCTTTTGCTTGATATGTGGCTAAGCCACGTTGAAAATAAAGTACATATTGATGAACTAAACAAACATTCAAATTAGTAAATGAATTCAGAAATTTATTCTTTTCTGTTACAGATGAACCTCTAGTCTTGCTTTGAAAAGGCCATTTTGTCTAACTTGCCTGTTGGGAGAATCACTGACTGAGTATGCCATTTGAGAGATACTTTTTCTTGACCAAGTACTGGTAATTAGAGAAGAGAGTGGTTTTATCTTTTCCTTTTTTGATCATTATGAACATTGGCTTTTCACTTCTGAAGTAAAAATGTTGAAAACTGAGTCTTCAGGTGAACGAACCACTCTCAGGAGTGCATCCCCCCACAGGAATGCATATAGAACTGAGTTCCAGGCACTGAAAAGCACCTTTGACAAACCTAAGTCAGATGGGGAACAAAAAACAAAAGAAGGTGAGGGCTCCCAGCAGAGCAGAGGGAGGAAATATGGCTCCAATGTCAACAGAATTAAAAACCTATTTATGCAGATGGGTATGGAACCCAATGAGAATGCTGCAGTCATTGCCAAAACCAGGGGGAAAGGGAGACCATCCTCTCCCCAGAGAAGAATGAAACCCAAAGAATTTCTGGAGAAAACAGATGGCTCAGTGGTTAAACTTGAGTCTTCTGTTTCAGAAAGAATTAGTAGATTTGACACAATGTATGATGGTCCTTCATATTCTAAGTTCACAGAAACTCGGAAGATGTTTGAGAGAAGTGTGCATGAATCAGGACAAAACAATCGCTATTCCCCAAAGAAAGAGGAGAAAGCTGGGGGCAGTGAACCTCAGGATGAGTGGGGTGGGTCCAAGTCCAACCGAGGCAGTACTGATTCCTTGGATAGTCTTAGCTCCCGGACAGAGGCTGTCTCCCCAACTGTGAGTCAACTGAGTGCAGTATTTGAGAACTCTGATTCTCCCAATGCCACTGTTTCAGAGAAGGGTGAAAACAATGAAGAATACTCAGTGACTGGGCGCTATCCACTGAATTTACCATCTACTGTTACAAATCTTGACACTTTTGGTCACTGTAAGGATTCTGATTCTTGGTCTCCTTCAAACAAACAAGATGTTGATGCAGAGGATGCTCAAAAGGATAATACAACTGCAGCACCAGAAGTAGCTTCTAAAGGTACTCTAGTTTCAATACCTAGTGAAGGGATACAACAGAGCAAGGAAGCCGAGAACTCAATTTCTACCCAAGAGACTCCTGAAAGAATTGGCAAAGACATTTCTGAAGAGCCTTGTGCTGAAAGTAAGGCAATGCCAGAGTCTGAAATCCCATCACCACAAAATGAAGCTTTAGAAGATGCTGAAGCTAATTTGATTGGGGATGAGGCAGCAAAGAAACAGAGGAAAGAACTTGGAGGTGGTGATTTCACTTCTGGTGATGCATCTGGATCCAGCTGTAGAAAAGAAGTACCTGAAGATTTAAACAATTTTGAGAGTTCCCATGTTTACATGCACAGTGACTATAATGTGTATAGGGTAAGATCCAGGCATAATTCAGACTGGGGAGAGACAGGCACTGAACAAGATGATCAGGAAGATAGTGATGAAAACAACTACTGTCAACCTGATATGGAATACTCAGAAATTGTCGGATTGCCAGAAGAAGAAGACATCCCAGCAAATAGGAAAATTAAGTTTAGTAGTGATCCAATTAAGGTAAGTATGTCTTCTCAGTTTTTATTATTTGGGCCTAACTATATGCAGTAATTGATTTGACAACTACAGGTAGTGTTTTTAAGGAATCAGGGTTGTTGATATACATATGTTGTAAGGTGATTTTAAAGGTTTAGAGTTTGAGAGATAACCATCATATTTCATAATATGCTTTGTAGCTATAAAAACCAATAAATTGGAGAATAATATTAAATGTGAACAAGTTTGGTGATTTTGAGATATAGTCCAATGGACTGGAAAATAATATGAAGGCTGAAAACTAGGAATATTAGTTTGAAAATGATTACTTCTTCAAATGGTCTTCCTGGAGAGTGCTTGTAAATAATAAAAATGTCTGATTCTGAACACTCTGATCTGAGGTATAATGCACATAGGAGAGTTATGGTACCCTTAAAATACTCTATTTACTTACTTAACAAGAATCGGAGTTATCCCTTACTTAAGTATAAGTGGATTGTAAGGAGTGTTGAAACTTTTTGTTGGTGGTGCTGCTGTTACTTGGTGAAAAGTGAAAGTTTCATTTACGGAAATATATTTAGTTGGCTTAAATACTTTAATTGAAAAGCTATTACTTGTAAACAGCTTTGAGTTCAGAATGTGTTATGTAGTTTTGAAATGAAATTTTGTGAGAGGAAGTAAAATGGATTTGTCATTCATAATTTATTTTTACCTCTTAAAAACTGGATAAATGCCAGTTGAATTTAAGTGCTCTATTCTAATGACTTCACTCCTTTAACATTTGGTATACCGTATAAGAGAATCACAAAGTGCATCAACTGCGGGCGGTGGAATGTTCCTAGCTGATAATGGCAATGGAGGGGGCACGGTGGTTGGTGGAGTATCAAACTTCTGAAGTGATTTTTCAAAGGTTACTTGCCTACCAGCTCAGCCCTAAGAGGATGGCATGCCATCCTAGGGTTATCTGGAGCACTGAGGCAGTAACATATGTAATATGAATCCATTTCTTAGGGGCTTCTAGTAACTCAGGCAGTGGGACTCTGTGATAGATTTAGAATTTGATATATCTTTCAGTTTCTTCCTTGAAAATTTTAAATACTGTGCTTGTGTGTTTTCCATCTTGGAAACATCTTTTACATCTTGAGACTGTAAGAGATATGATTTACATGAAATTATTCAAAGAGAAATCTGGTCTTGCTTTAATTATGAATACTGTTTTTGAAAGGAAGTAATAATCTATGTAGCTACTTACAGGTGTTCATTGGTACACTTTAACTTCACCTAGTGCAAGGCAAACAGTCTGGGTGAGCATGGGTCATGTCAGGTGAACTATGCTTAAACTGAACTATAGATGTGTGACTTTGGTTTCAAAGTAAGCTAAGTGTCTTTGCAGTGCTGACTACCATTTTCCTTTGTTACTCTCTCTTCTTTCCCTGTCTCCCACACCCCTTTTCTACCTGTGTTCTAGTCATTGTCTTCAGTGGTGTCTTCCTGGCAGACCTAGCCAGTGAGCTCCTAAATGTCACCATTGCTGTCCTAGTGCTTTTCTTTGAACATCATCATTTTACTCCTGAGGAAGAAGACAATAAGATTAAATTGTGTCACACTGAGTATAGCTGGAATAACTGAAATGAACTCTTTGAGGAGTTTAATTCAGTGACTAACTCCCTAATAGGAAGATAACAATATATGAAAATTTATCAAGTAGAACATTACTCACTCAGCCAAATGGTATACCAGCCCTGTACTTGGGTTATTTGCTTAATTTTGTTTTTTCGTGTTAAGTGCCTTCAAGTTGGATCTGACTCATGTCAGAGGTGGTAGATCTTTACAGGAACAGGAAGCTTCATCTTTTTCCCATAGAGCGCCTGGTGGTCTTGAACCACCAACCCTGTGGTCCCCAGTCCCATCCCCTGCTTATCTTACAGAGCTACCATACTCTTTGCTTCATAGTAATATATTTAATGGATTTTAAAGGGTTTATCTTTGAAATGTCTTTTCTTACGTGAATAGATCTTTCTCATATGTGAAAAAATCTTTTGGGGTATATGGTATTTTTTAGTTACAATGATTGTTGCTGTTATTACTTATAACAAGCATCTTGCCTCTTAACATTCAGATACAAAGACTGAAAACAGATCATCTGAGTTTAAGTTGAACATATTTCATTAATCTGTGAACCAGACATTTTTTATAATAAGTGCATCATATTTTATTGGGCATTTAATAGTACTTGTTGGAGTGGATGAAGTTTGTAACTTAATGATGCATTCTTAGTCTTTTGTAAGGAATAAGACACTTACTTCTTGTTCCAATGTTTAACATAGAAGTGGATTTACCTGGAAATTATTAGAGCTACTTTCTACTGGTGGTGATGACATTTGTTACTCTCTATTCAATTATGATCTTTGCCTCAGAAGTCGGTAATACTTATCCGACATTGAGGGCTTTCCATGTGTCTGTTTCTATCAGGACTTTGAACCAGTTCCTTCTGGTTTTACTTCCTGCTGAGAATTTGCAATTTCATCCCAGATTATACTGAGTCAGAATCTGCATTTTAACAAGATCCTAGATAATTCTTGTTGGAGACCTTGTTAAAATGTGGATTTTGGTAAAGTATACCTGGGGTGGAAATCCTGGGGATCTTCTTACATACAACTCTGTAAGGTCATCTTTTCTCTGTGAGCATGTAGGTGGTGGTGGTGGTGTGCCTTGGAGTCGGTTCCGACTCATAATGACCCTGTATGGGGTTTCTGAGGTTGTAAATCTTTTTGGGAGCAGAAAGCCTCATCTTCCATGGAACAGCTGGTAGTTTCGAACTGCTGACCTTGAGGTTCGCAGCCCGATTCGTAGCCACTATGCTACCAGAGCTCCTTGTGAGCATGTAGAGTCAATTCTTAGACGCATAGTACTTGGAAACTATATTAACACGTTTGAAAAAAATAGACCCCTTTTGTGACGCTGTCGAATAAGCACTGGACTGCAAACCACGAATTTGACGGTTCAAATCCACCAGCTGCTCCTTGAAAACCCTGTAATAGGGTGTGAGTCGGAATTGACTTGAAGACATTTAATAATACAAAAATGGTGCCAAAATGTCTGATGGAGTTGTAGTTTCTGTATTATACAAATACTTTAACTATATTTGGCTGTATTAAATGCATAGATTAACAGGAATTCACTCAGCCATTCTGTGTGTTTCAAAGATTTATGTATGGAATAGGAGATTAAGACTTGTAAATCTTTTCCTTTGAAATTTAAACACCCTTCTTTAGATGACAGAGAACACATTCCCTACAGGAATGTACTTTGGAACTTTTACATTCTTTTCCTGGTATTCTCAATTTATTCTACTAGGTTCAATATTCTCATTACCTTTAGTTTTTTGTTGTAGATCCTGTTTATCAAGTTTGTGTGTGAGATGCTGTCCACAGTTTCTATTCTGGTTTGCACTGCAAGATTAACCGTTCAAGTTCACCAGGACCCTAAAGATGTCTTAAAGCTGGACTTGAAAAGTTGGTGCAATAATAACTGATTTTTACAATGTGGCATAATCCTTATATTTGACAGTTACTGTTAAAACTGTTAGGGTTGTACTTCTGTGTAACATTTATTATAATTTTTGTATCTTTCATTGACACAGTTTTTAAAAAAAATTTTATTGAATAAGTTTGTTTTACAGGGTCATGGGATAGTACAATGAATTAATAAAAGAAAGTGTCAAGTCTAACTTCAAGACTTCTTGTTAGGTGTTGTCAAGTTGGTTCTGATTTATAGTGACCCTATGGTGCTGTGGGTTAATGCGCTGGATTGCCAGGTATGTTTGAACTGCAAGGTCAGCGGATCAAGTTCACTTGATCCTCAGAAACGGATCCTCAGAAGCGGATCAAGTTCATTTGATCCTCAGAAATTCTATACAGGGTGGCTATGAGTTGGAACTGACTTGACGGCACTTAACATCAACAGTGACTACACAATAGAATGAAACACTGCCCAGTCCTGCGCCCATTGTGACTGCCACCATGTCAGTCCATCTCATTGGGGATCGTCCTCTTTGCTGACCCTCCGTTTTACCAAGCATGGTGTCTTTCTCCAAGGACTGGTTGACCTGATAGCATGCTTGCAATATGAGAGATGAAGTCTCGCCATCCTCACTTCTAGCTATACTTCTTTCAAGACAGAGTTGTTCTTTTGGTAGTCCATGATCGATTCACACCCCTATAAGGCTCTTCCTTAGTCATTTTCCAACTTTCACATGTATACGACGCAATTACAGATATAGACTTGAGGAATGTTATGAACTGTGCTAACTTGAGATGTGGAATTCAGCCTCTGTTCTCAGGAATTTCTTAAAACCAAGGGATTAAATTATAATAAATTTGTTTTAGATGAATTAAGGCTAGAAAAGATGACATTTCCCCTTTTTTTCTATTAATTCAGACTACTAATTGAGCCTCTACTATGTGTTTGGAAAATGCAGATGTTAGAACTCTGTAAAATGACTGGACCTGGTTAATTCAGGAACTTATTAATTCAGGAACAGCCTCATTAAGCAAGCTTCTCAGGCTGTTCTGCTCAGGGTTTTTTTTTTTGATAATCTTTCTGAGGTCACTGCAACCTAATTAAGGAAGTTGTAACCCTTTCTCTGTTTTTGGTAACTATGTCCTTTGAATTGGTGTTCTTAAAACATAGTACATCCGGAAAAGTAGATTGCAGAGTTAATATTGAGGTCCGTTGCCTTATGTTTTTTCCTCAAACTATTTAGAGCTTTTCCGAGTTGATGTTCAAGGGAATGTTAGCAAGGGCAGTAATGCTGCTCTGAACCTTATATAATAGGTGCTGCATATGGTACCCTTAGTAGTCTACCCCTCTTTTGGGGCTGTAAGGTATTATTAGGGTTACATGGGTGTTTTCTCAGAAATAATGTTATGCACATAGGTCTTCTGAGATCCAAATTTCTGTCTTTGTGGGGGCTTCCCTTTCTAACCTGGGCTTCTAATAGATTCATTCAGGTTCAAACTTCT